GTCCAAGACTGCTTCACTCACACATCTGGTGTCTTGGCAGAAGTAGCTGAAGTTTGGACTCAGCTGAGCCTCTCTCTGTCTCCAAGTATCTCCAGGACTTTCCATGCGGTCTCTTCAGCAGAGTAGTCAGATTCTTTTATATGATGGCTCAGAGCCCTAAGAAACCAACATGGAAACTACATGTTCTTTCGAGGCTAGGCCTAGAACGAACTTGATTTTGCCATACTATATTGGGTAAAGCAGTTGTAGGTAGGCCAGCTCAGACTAGGAGGATAGAGGGTAGAGACAGACTCGGCCTCCCTATGGGAAGAGTACCAAAGCATTTGTGGCTATCTTTAATTCAACACGGATATCAAGATTGCTGCCTTAATACAAGTTATACCTTTGATAATTCAGGTTAGGACTGAAAACCGTAACTGTGGATGGTTTAGGATAACTTGAATGGGAAACCTAGGGAAAGAGGAGTTGAAGACATGAGTGTGACCCCTTCATACTGGAGGCTACAGGAAGCCATCCAGAGTGTCAGAGTGAGAAACCTATTTAGTTACTCTGAGAATCACTTTCGCTTATTGGCAATGCCTGCTTCTATTGTCCTCCTTACCCCCTTCATCTCTCTCAAGCCAATCAGGGTAAGAATCTTTGTTTCTCAAGTAGGGTCCATGTCTATCTTGGCTCTGTGACTCTGCCTTCCCAAAATACAGAGCACATAGTACAGAGCCTACAGTCAAATCAAAGTGATGCCATCATTTGACAGTCTACCCCCAGAACATTCTACTCTGCTATCTTTTAAGGAAGATCACTGTCTGTTTTAAGTCAAACACTGTGCCAAGTAATTTAACATACCTTTTATTATTTCACTGTAACAACAACACTGGGATAGGTATTGTTATCATCCCCCATTTAATAGAGAAGGAAACTGAAACACAGACATCAAGTGACTTTACCCCATACAGCTACGTAGGTGGCAGAGCCTGGATACCAACTGAGATCTTTGGCTCCAAAGCCTATGATCTTTCAGTATACCATGCTGCCTTTCAAGGAAGAAGGAACAAAAGCCTATCCACTGGATACCCAAGGTACTTCTCTCCTACTTCATTCATCCATCCACACAATATCTAAGGTGTACTGAGGATGATTCTACACTGCCAGAATCTCCAGAGTATTAAAGAAAAGTCTAAAGAGAAAGGCTGTACTTCTAGCACTGGCATTCCCATCAAATCATAAAATATTTCTTTTTCAATTCTACTACATGTTTTACTGCTGCTCCTGGCACCTCTCTATTGCAAGGGAACGACTGTTAATAGAGTTGGTATTATCATGTATGTTTGGGCAGCTGACTAGAGAAGGGTTAGGAGTGGCATGGGTTGTCTCTTTTCAGCATTAACCAGAAAGGTGGTAATATAGAGGTATGTAATTGGAGAATATGGGCAGGAAATGTGTGCCTCCAAGGGATGAGAGACACTTAGGCAGTTGGAAGAATGCAATGGTGATTCAAAAAAGGAACTAAGTGGGCTCGACTCAAGTAGGATTCAGCAATCCCTTCATCCCTAAAGATCCACAGAACAACAGTGCCCAGTGCACTGAGGAGAGGGGAGCTAGAGCCCTTAGGCAGACATATGGTACAGGAGAGAAGGGTAAATAAAGGAAGAGAATACAATGGAGACACAAAGAACAAAAAATGAGTAAAAGAAGAGAGAGAAAAATAATAATCCTGTGGTAAACATGATTGAAGGCCATCAACTTGGGACAGAGGCAGCCACACATAAATTGCCCATTTGGGAACTAGGTCCTTGGAGGTGGCGACTGGTGCAGAAAACTGACAAATGACTACATGCAAATCACATCTTCAATTTTTCTCTTTTGAATTTTATATTAATCAAAGAACTAACTCATTCTATGAGGCCATTTTTACCCACATACTAAAATTCAATCAACATGTCAGAAGAAACCTACAGACCAATATTCCTAATAAATATAGATGAAAAAATCCTCAACAAAATACTAACAAACCAAATCCAGCAACATATGAAATACATTACCCACCATGCCCAACTATGATTTATCCCAGAAAGGCAAAGTTTGTTTAACATGTGAAAATTAATCAATAAAGTACATATGATTGTCTCAGTAGGTAAAGAAAAAGCATTTGACAAAAACTCAGCACCTTTTCATGATGAATACACTTACACTAGGGATAGATAGACGGGAACTTTCTCAACTTAATAAAAGCTATCTATTAAAAGAAACCTAGCCAACATCAATACTTAATGGTGAATAATTGCTTTGCTGTACAACTGAAACTAATATTGTAAATCGACCACATCTCAATAAAAAATAAGAATTAAAAAAATACTTCATGGTAAAAACCTGGATGCTTTACCCCTAAGATCAGGGGAAGACAAGGATGTTTACTGTCACCAGTTGTACTCAACATTGTTCTGGAGATTCCAGCCAGAGCAATTATACAGGAAAAGATTAGAAAGGAATGCTTTAAACTATCTCTCTTCTCAGATAACATGATCTTATATATAGTAAATCCTAAGTAATCCACTAAAACATCATTAGAATTAATAAGGGAGTTTGGCACGACTGCAGTATTCAAGGTCAATACAGAAAAATTATTTGTGTTTATATACACTAACAATGAGTAATCCAAAAATAAAATTAAGAAAAAAATTCAATTTACAATGAAAAATTATTTGTGTTTATATACACTAACAATGAGTAATCCAAAAATAAAATTAAGAAAAAAATTCAATTTACAATATCATCAAAACAATAAAATACTTAGAAATATATTTCACCAAAAAGTTGCAGGACTTCTATACTGAAAACTACACAGTACTATCAAAAGAAATTAAAGATAACCTAACTCACTGGAACATCGTCTTGTGTTCATGGACTGGAAAACTTAATATCACTTAATATCACTAAACTGCCAATTCCAAGGTTCTGAAGACTATTTTAGCTATTCTGATCTCTTGCGTTTTCATGTGAATTTTAGGTTCAGCTTGTCCATTTCGGCAAAATAGTCAGCTGGGATTTTAACAGAGATTGTGCTGAATCTATAGATCAGTGTTAAACTAGTATTCTCCAAACTGATCTATAGATTCAGCACAATCTCTGTTAAGATCAGTGTTAAACTAGTATTCTCCAAACTGATCTATAGATTCAGCACAATCTCTGTTAAGATCAGTGTTAAACTAGTATTCTCCAAACTGATCTATAGATTCAGCACAATCTCTGTTAAAATCCCAGCTGACTATTTTGCCGAAATGGACAAGCTGAACCTAAAATTCACATGAAAACGCAAGAGATCAGAATAGCTAAAATAGTCTTCAGGACCTTGAAATTGGCAATACTGTATTCTTCACTATGACACCAAAAGCACAAAAGCAACAAGAGAAAAAAATAGATAAAAGGGGATTTCATCAAAATTAATCAATTTTGTATTTCAAGGGATGTCATCAAAAAAGTGAAAATACAACCCACAGAATGAGAAAAAAATACTTCCAAATTATATATCTGAAACGGGTCTAGTGTCCCGAATGCATAAAGCACCCTTACAACTCAACAAAAAATGGGCAAATAACCCAGTTGAAAATAGGCAAAAGCGATTTAAATAGACATTTCTCCAAAAAGGATATAGAGATGGACAATAAGTAAATGAAAAGATACTCAACATTTTTGATGGGGGATGGGGGGTGGTTGTTGAGCACAGGGAAGAATGAGGAGTGGCTGCTAGTGGGTAAGGGGTTTCTTTAGGGGGTTATGAAAATATTCTGGAATTGGATAGTGGTGACAATTGCACATTCTTGTAAATATACTAAAAACCACTAATTGTACATTTAAAAGAGCAAATTTTATGGTATGTGAATTATATATCAGTAAAGCTGTTTTTTTAAGTAGAATGGTAAGTCTAACAATTAAGTAGGAGAAATGTGCTAAATCTTCAGCTTTCTCTACCCTGGCTAGCAGCACCAGTGGCTTGCTTCCTTTTTCTTCAGCACCTGCCCCCACGTATTTATTCATTCCTTCACCTATGACAGAATTATTATACTTACTAGTCGGTCCTGCACTGAGCCAGGAACACTGGACATTCAGGGTCTACATTTGTCACATATTCTATATAGCCCTTTCCTCATGTTATATTTGCACAGTAAACAACTCCTTCCTCCAAAAATGGGTCAGGTGAGACTCAAGAAAACAATCTGAAGCAACAGAGAGAAAAGGGAAGTATTGGATCATAAGCTATAGGGAATGGCTGGCCTCATTGTTCTAAAATCCTCTCTTACAATTGAGAATACTCAAGGAAACCTAGACATTTCCCCTCCTACTCTCTTCCATCATGGTAGGTCAGGAAATCTTCCAATTAGAGTCTAATTTATTCTAATTCACAATAGTGAACTTAAGCCATTCTCAGTGAGAGTTGGCAACCATAGAAGAGTCCAGAGCTACTTCGGTCACCCATTTTAATATCTAACACCTTTTGTTATTAACATGCCAGCAATAATGTAAAAATGCCAGTAACAATTCCCCAATATTTAAGCTAGGTTCCTAATGCTTGATGTAAAACAAATTACTTATTGTTATGTCCTCAGTGGAAAGTGAGAAGAGATACTGTTGATCCGTATTTGGGAAATGGTGCCTAGAAGGAAATACCAACAGGGACTAGGATTCATTCAGGGGATGGCAAATAAGTGGTCTCCAAGAATTTGAAATCCCTCCATAGATAGGGCTGCCCCAAACCATCACAGGGCTCTGGGTAAAAGTGCATAAAGGCTGTGGAGAGGCATAGTTAAAGAAGCAGAATTTATTTTCAACCCTTGTAAATTAGCAAGACCCCCTGAGTCTGACCAAGCCACCACTTCCCACAAACTGACATAGTGAGAAACTCGAGCAGGTACCACCAGGAAGCAGAGGTCCCTCCAAGAGGTAAAGCGCTTTGAAAAACAGTTTCCCAATGAACCATCACTTCCACCCTGCACAGGCCACCTTACCTAACTGAAATTGATTGGAGACATTCCCACATGTTTGCATTATCTCCGGGCTATTCCATCCTAAAGGGTATAATGCACAGCCTGAGCTTATCAGCAGTCCTGGAAAAAAAAAAGCATATACACAGGTAGAAAAAAAATATGATAGGTCTTCTGTCACCCCAACATTCCCTCTGGATTAGCTCAGCTTAAATTCTGCCTCCTCAACTCAGAGTTTACCTTTCCCCTTTTACCCTCAATGTCTCTGACACCACCAACTCAAAAGGATTTCTTTTCTGTGCCATAGGTGGTGAGTTGCAGTAGATAGTAGAGGGGACAAATCATAAACAAAGGGCATTACTGGGAATTGAGACAGGACAATGAATTTTTCACAGCCAAAATGCTTTTGGCAATGACTTAGCTGAGTTGGCCTCTCCACTCAGACTCCTTTTCTATCTTGGTCTGATTTACAAAGAATAACAAGGTAGAGACTGCTATTCTTTCCTACAAGTCAGCCTTTTCTAAGAGCCAGGTCAATCCCTACTCATTGATGGCAGGTCATGATTTCTGTAACTTGAGGTCAGCTGCCAGACTGAGCTCTGTGGAAAACATACACATTAGGTAGGTTTCTCCTGGCGAGCGGGGCACCATACTCCCTCCTCCAGAAACACTTCCTTCTTCTGAGAAATCATTCCAGCTGCACACTAAGCATTCCTACTTTCTTTGGCCTCCAATACCTTCCACTGTGCCCGTTGCATTCTCCATTTTGTTTAGGTCAGGGAAGCTCTTTGTGATCTTAGTGATAACCTTACTCTTCTGACCAGAGATACAAAGTCTGGGTCGGCTTGCTGACACTGCCGTTTAAGGACAACTGCCTCATCTACAGCTCTTGCTTACTGCCTAGGGTTGCATTTTATAACCTATGACACCCCTGTGCCTTTGACTGGAGTAAGCATTGGCGTCTGACACAAAAGCAACACAAAAGCCAATTCATTGGCTGGCCAGTAATAGGTGACATCATATCCTGCTCTGAAGAGATGAGCTGGGCCAGATCCTTGTTTCTGGAACTTTTAATCAAGATACATAGAGATGCTGAGCTAGTTAGCAGATGGAGCAGAAGTTAGGGAGAAAAAAAAAAACACACCAGGAGGCAGAATCAAATCTCTGTCAAGCTGAAGCCAACTTCAATCCAAAGTTATGAATAGACATCAATTCTGGGTAAGCTGAGCAAACTGATTGATTGGTAGAGGGAGAGAATTCAGTGGCATGAAGCAGATATAGCATGGAGGAAAACTCCATACTGCTCATGAAAGAGCCTTCCCAGTGGCTTTCTAGCTCCACTTTTCTTATGTTACAAAAAGCCCCCTTTTTGTTGGGAGAACTCAAGTGAGTCTCTGCTACTTATAACCCAGAGAGCCTAACTACAGGAACACTAGAGTTGAGTGCTGCACTGAAGGGCATGGGAAGGTCACGTGCCCCAAGTGTGGCTGCAGAAGCTGACACGTGAAACAGCGCCTCCGCGAAGCCCACGTTTGACCGACAGGCTGCTGCGGGGACCACTGCTCTCCCCTTTGCCTCTTTCCTCACTGAGGAAGATCCCGCATGCACGCGGAGAAGCCAATAAGCCCGCTTCGCCTTCAAATAAGCCCACTTTGCCTTCAGATGAATCCTTTCAGAAGAAGATTTCAAAGTAATTCTCTCAGCTTGTCTGCAGCATGGCAACCAGCTATTCTCAATACTCAAAGAGGCCAGAAAAAAAATATATAAAAGGATCTAAAGAAATAGCAAGAAAGGTTTAAATAGGAAAACAGAGAGAACTTTCTGACAGCGAGAGAGGGTTTAGAAACTAAAAGAATGACCAATTAAGGTTAAACTTTCCGTTCAGTGGAATGCTTAAAATTAGAAGACATTCTTATCTGTCTCATAATCTTAAAGGAAATGAAACTTGTCGCTCAAAGACTTTTCTAGGCTCTGGAATTTATCCAGTGGCAATTGAATGACACTATTTTTTTTAACCACAGATAAACTGAAATTCTATGATATGAGGTTTGAGCCAGAGCACGTGAACCCAGAGCATGGCAATGGGTTAAGGACAAATTGGAAATGAAACGTCAGCCTTTTCCTGCTTTCAGTGCCTACCTTCAGAGAGAAGAGTTCATTAGAAGTGAGCTTTCCCACACAGACTAGGAAGAAAAGAACACAAGTTTCTAAAAAGAACAGCAGTTCTATTTTCCAACCTCCACATTCAGATCCCTGGGACTGGCATGAACTCTGACTTCTCAAGCAGGAAGTTATGCTGGCCAAGTGCCTTTCTTGATGTGGCAGGGGAACCTTCCATCTTCTTCGGCCCTTCCGTGACTTACACCTTACCTTACCGAGCAGCTCACGTCAGGGATTACCTTCTCCGGGAAACCTTTCTTCACGATCCCCACTGCCCACCCCCAGCCCCCCACCCCAGGTTAAGTTACATATTCCTTTCCTCTGTTCCAGTAGCACCCTGTGCTTGCTCCTGCGATTAAAACATCCTGTGATATGTATCTTTCACAACTGTTTGTTCTCTGCTTCTCTTATAAAAAAGGGCGTTCCTTGAAAGGAGGGGCCATATTTAGCCTCAGCTATATATGCTTGGTACCTGGTATGTCATAAGTGCTTAGTAAATGCACCTGTTTCAGAGTATGCTCTGCCTACCTAAGAGACGGCTTCCTTCACCTCCGCTACCCAAGGGGGAAGCCTTCTGAAGGGATCGCTATGGTAGGGATGGGGGATCATCCTTAACACCTGATACAGCCATAGCATTTTGGAGAAGGAAGGTCTTTGAAGATTACCTGTTACTTCCAATCCCTCCACATTAGAGGTGTGGATTTTGAGACCCAGAGAGGGAAAGCAATTTACCCAAGGTCACATAACCAATTGGGGGCAACATTTTTCCTCACTAATCAGAGAGATCCTTAGAAGTTCTGTCCTTCTAGAGACAGGTGTCCAGAAATGACCATCTTTTGGCAACGATATCTCTAGCAGGCATTAGGAGCCTTGTAGGCGTTAGATCTAGAGAGACAGCATGTGATGGCTTAAATGAACGATACTGTATTATATGCCTGAAAGCTACTAAGAGGCTAGATCTTAAATGTTCTCACCACAAAATAATAATGTGAGGTGATGAACGTGTTATCTAACCTTATTGTGGTCATGATTTCATAATAAATAGTGTATCAAATCATCATGGTGGACACCTTACACTTACACAATGTTATATGTCAATTATATTTCAATGAAGCTGGGAAAAAAATAGAGATTAATTCTGTAGTCAGTTTAGACCTAAGTTCAAATTCCAGCTCTGTCACCTAGAGGCTGTGTGACCTTAGGCAAGTTACTTAATTTCTCTGTGCGTCAGTCACCTTATTTTTAAAGTGGGAATAATAGTAGTCTATCTTACAGGGCTGTTTCAAGAAGTAAAACTCATAAATGCCTGGCACATAGAAAGTGCTCCCCAAAGATTTATTATTATTATTAAACAGCAACCTCTCCCTCTGGCTCCTCTCAGTTTCCATCTATCTTCTCCATGCTAATTTTTTCTCACCTTTTTGTCCTCATTACAAACAGCTGAAAAGCCAAAAGCTGGACAGGGCTTGATTTAAAAGCCACCTGGTTGAAGCTGTTATCTTGCAATTTTTTCACAGGCACCAGGCCAGAGACCAGGACTCTCTGCCAGGCACGTGTTCTGCCCCAGTGCATGTAGCTTCACCCTCTGCCCAGCCTGCCCTACCACCCCTCCTATCCCCCATCCTCCCTCTTGCCTTTTAGCCTGGCGCACACAGAAGGTTGTAAATATGCTTCATGGAGACATTGAACTTGTAACTGACAGAGGATTCTATTATATTTGATCATAGATGGATAAAGATGTCCTGGGAGGCATTTTTTTTAATGAAGTCATGGGATAATTTCGCCTTAATTATATTTTTCCCAACAGTTCTTATCAATTTCAGATTGTGAAGATGTACTTCAAATAGTAACACAGAAGTCATTTTCCAGTGCCAGGCCCTGCCACCTACTGGAAGACTGGGGATTTATTTAAAATGTAGGTTCCTGAGCCTCGCACACAGGTGTTTGATTCAGTAACTCTGGCCTAGCAATATGCATTTCAAAAGCACCCTAGTGATGCTAATGCATCTGGTCCTAGCACCAACACTTAAAAACACCACTAAAAATAGTAAAAGCAGGAGTTCTGATGGCAGAGAAAACTAGTTTAAATCCCAGCCCTACCAGGTATGAGCTGTAGCCCTGGCTCCCATACCTCTACATGCCATTGCTAACTCCGAGCTTAACTGCCCCTCCAGCCACAACCCCCCTTGGAAAAGGCTGTCGCAACTGCATCTGCTCAGCTGGGTACTTTCCTATTCTCACCTGCCTCTAGAAAGGGAAAGCCCTTCAGATTGTGTTACCATCCTTACCTCTCATTGCATATGTGCAGGTGACCGCTGGGCTGCCGTCTTGTTTCCCTTCCTCAGCTGCTCCTTCCACAAGAAGCCCCTGTCGCAGAGTGTACCAAGTGTCCTCCCCAAACATGGTTGCTATAGATTTGATTCATTGCTCTGCCCAAGCAGAGGCCTGGAGGTGGACATTTCACTTGGCTTCAGCCCTTGCGGCAACCTCAGCGCCAATACAAGCCTTGGGCACACACTCTTGGACAGACCTCAGAACCCTCCCTGCAACCAGATCCTAGCTGCCCTCAGTCGTCCCCTGCTGCCAGCATTACTACTTCCCCATACCTCAACAGCTGTGGGAGCCCCTCCCAGCTGCGCATTCTCAAATAGGTAGATGCCTGATCTTTGTCTTGGGGTAAAGAAAGCCTCCTCAACTGGGTGTTATCAACCCCCTGTGCCCACCCCGTCAGTGCAACTGTTGAGTGGGCAGACATTGTGTTACACTTCGTGCCCCATTCCCAAACGTCTGTCCAAATACGGTCATTTGGTAGTTCCAATTCACTGCCCTGAGCAGAAGCCTAGTGTGGGTTAATTTGTTATTAATTGGCTCAATGTATTGCTCTTGCAACAACTCTAACACAATCATAGTGGAAAATGTATGTCTGCCCTCCAGCTGTATCTCAGCTGTGCCTTCCCAGGGAACTCCCCCACACCCCTCTCTCATTCATTTGACGCATATTCTCTCTCAGAGTTATGAGGCACTTCACTCCTGCTAGAGATTTCTAAAGTAGATCAGAGGAGGCTTCCCAGAGAGGCTGCATTTGACCTGGCCTTTGAGAGAAAGACAGACATTTACAGGCAGAGATGGAAGAAAAGGGAACTCCAGGAAAAAAAGAAACAGCCTGAACAAAACTGAGCAGAGGTTCTTAAACGTTAATTTGTACTGGAACCACGTTGCGGAAAGAGAATTAACAAATCCAAGACAGTAGTTACTTTTGCTGTGGAGACCAGGAAATATGAGTAGGGTATGAAGGAGACCTCAATTACATTGGTGATAGTCTATTTCTTAAGCCACGTGGTGCATATATCTGAAATATGTCACACTATCCTTTCAAAAATAAATCAGCCTTAGAGGCTGTGTAAAATGCAGAGTGCCAGGCGTCCATTCTGATTGAGCAGACTTAGAAAGGCACTAAGGAATCTGCATTAACAAGCAACTCAGGACATTCTTATACCAGTGCTTCATGGGCCACTCCGAAAAACACTGTGGCAGCATTTCTTCTCCCAAGGGAGAAAGAAAAATTGATACACCAGTGCGCACAACCCAGGGCTGAGAGTCAGAAGCCCTGGACCATATTCTCTGCTCTGCTCCAAATTTGCTACAGGAGTCTTTGCTAGTAGGTTAACTTTTTAAAATACCACTTCCCAAACAGAAAGCCACTTTTATAATCCTTGTTATGCATGGTAAGGATAATTAAATGATGCCTGGCGAAACTTTGGAAGACTTTCTAGGAAATGCATGGTTTCCAGGGAAGATAATGGTTTTTGGAAAACAGCACCCTTTCCTTGAATCAGGTTCTCAGCAATCTGTCTCCGATGGCAATTTTCCTTCAGCTTGAAGCACACAGCATTAGGACAGTCCATGGAGAAAAACATTCGTGCCTGTCTGGGTGTGTGGAATTCTATCTTTTTAACCTGCCCCCAGCCCCTCCAAAAAAGCCCAGGGTGGTGATTCTCGCTTGGGTTGGGGGAAGGGAACACAGCATACACATCAGTCACTGGGGGAGATTCTTCAAAACACGCAGACTCCCACCTGTTGCTGTGTATATCAGTGTGGGAAAGAGGACTGAAGAGTCGGGGAGTCCACGTTTTTTTTAAGCACTCCAGGTGATTCTGATACATTCCCTGCTCTGGAAAGATTCTTGGCTTCCCTCAAGTAACCCGATCCAAGATCTTACACATTTTCCTGCCAAGAGTCCCTTATATTTACTTGTCACCTATTTCTTCTTTGGTGAGCTCTCCCTGAAGGTAGAGAGTAGGTCACAAGCATCTTACATATGTGTACACAGGGGGATGTAAACAATGACCTTGCTGTCAGGGACTGGGGGCCGGCTGGTTGGAAACCTCAACATCCCCAGGGTTGGAATAATCTCCTGGCCAGATGTTTCCTTCACTGGTTGGAGCAGGGCACGAAGGTCCCAGTGGAAGGCTCTCTGGACCCTACATTTGTCCAGCTGGATCAGCTGCAGGTGGAGCAAATGGGACCCAAGGGCCCCATCAGGTCACCTTGCTGAGTATGACTCAGGCCAGCAGCTCTTTATTTCTTCCTGTCTCTCCCACTTCCCACCGCTCATCTCTGTGGGCAGCCGCCAAACTGGGGAACAAAAGTCAGGCAGGGGGAGGGAGTAGTTCTTAATGGATACTCCATCTCTTCAGCGGTTTGGGGTCTGGCAGAGATAAACCGGACCTGAAACAAATTGGCTCCTCCCCCTGATGTATTTTGGTTAATGCACTAGCTGCCGAGAAGCAGCCAGGCCTGGAGCAACAAAATCAATTTCCTTCAGCTGAACAAGCTTAAACTTAACCCCCACAGCTCTTTCTCTTATGTCTCTTATTCATGGGGCTCAAAACGCTGTTCAGGCTTGGCTTCCTGCTGCTAGCAGAGCCCGTCCCTGAGGGGTCAGACCCACAGATCTTTGAAGAGCCTTGGATAATGGTCGTGTGCCAAGGGGCTCCTAGAAAATATGATACATTTAAGCAGCCTTCGCCATTCCTTAACATCTGATATAACCTTGACAGGCCCCAGTTTCTAAAAAGGATGTGGGAATGATTCTTAGTTGGCTCGTGTTACAGATGGGGAAACGGTGTAAATTTAGCAACCTGTTCAATATCATTCCCTTGCCCAGGGATAAACCTTGGAGCACACCTTGGATCTTGACTCTTTTCATGACAACTGTCAAATGGCATTTTATTCTTGAACTTGAAAGACCCTCATCTAAGTGTAAACACTGTGACCATGTTCCTAGAAGCAGGGGTCAATGGGAAACATAGAACGGCAGAATCATATGAGATGGAAATGATACTGATGTTTCCACCGCCTCTGTATGACACCTGCCACTCAGCCAAAGTTCTTCCCCACTCACTTCACGAGTGTCTAGATCTCCATTACCTATCCACATCTCCCTGCAACAATTTCCTCTGAGTTTCTGGACCAAGCAGGCAAGATCAACCAAAACATATTATATGGAGAACCACAAGGGTTTTGCGAAAGTCTCAGTCAAACCCAAGATAGGAAGCAAGGTGGGAGGAGGAGCCACTGTTAATGCCTGGAGTCTGATGGAGGCTGTTGCTAGTGGCCTTCTGATTCCTACCAGTTAGCCCCTCCTCACTCTCTGTTGGAAACTCTTAGAAAAGCAAGTGAGGCTAAGTTGTCACTCAGGTCAGAACTCAGGGTGCTAATAACCCTTGAATGGAAACCTGGGCAAAAAAAAAAAAAAAGGAAAAGATGTGAATTAACCCAGCTCTCACATGATCAACTTATCCCAAAATACACTACACATTTCTTTAGCCATACATTCATTCTTTCTACAGTTACTGAATATCTGCTCTGTGCCAGGCACTGAGCTGGGCTCTGGGGCGATAAATATGAATTGCAAGGAGCACCCTTTCTCTTGCCAGGCAAGTGTCACTTCCTGAAATAAGATGCCCAAAGAAGTGCTGAGGTAGCTATAGGATGCCCAAGAATACAGATGAAAGATGAGCCCACTTAGGGTTCATTTCTGATATCTGTGGAGTCCCCAAAGGGGGACAGAGTCATTGGCTTAGACCAATCTTAGTAACTGGTTCTGTACTACAGTTTTCAAGGGGAAGAAAGAAATTAATCCAACGACTTTCCAGTGTGGCCCAACAATCATTAACAGCTAAAGAGTAGAAAAATTCAGAGATAAAGGAGGCTAGAAAGTTTATTCAAATTTAAATGTTTACAATGAGCCTGAGGAAAGAGGAAAACAGAAAACAACACCTTAACTGATACAACAAAGAGAATCTGGTGCTTTTCATAAGAAGGCCAGGAAACTATGATACCTTAGCTCAGGGTTTCTCAACCTTGGCACTATTGACATTTGGGGCCAGATACTTCTTCATTTTGGGGAGTGGGCAGCTGTCTTGTTCTTAGGCACTGTGGAATAGTAAACAGCATCCCTCACCTTTACCCACTGGATGTCAGTAGCACCTTCCCCAACTTGTGATAACCAAAAATGTCTCAAAGACATTACCAAATGTTCCCCGGCAGGGGGAGGGGGTATACATGAAAAATCAGCCCCTGTTGAGCAGCACTGTTTTAGCTCATCACTACCATCTCACCTCAGGCCACCTGAATGCAGTCATTGGAGAGAAGAAAGAAAATTAGAATCTGGGTTATCTGGCCAATGAATAAATTCAAGAAAAGAAGGAGAGGGAACACGAGAGAGGTCACTGTCATTTGCTTACAGCGATGGGGCAATTTAGTGAAAGAGCCAGAGTGGGATCTAAGTTTCCTGGCTCCAGTTGCCCACACTGTGCTGCTAATGGAGATGACAGTGACAGTGAATAATGATCCTAAAGCTTCATGAGCAACAACAAACTTCAGCAATAGGTTCTACTGGCGCTTTTTCCCAGTGCTTCATCCAGGTGTAAAAAATTGCTAACATATTTGCTTGTTCTTCTCATACAGTTCAAATTAAACTTTCCCATTGCCTTCCTACAGTCTGCCATTTTTGCATTTTGCTCTTTCCTAGCCAATCCACACACTGCCAGCACCCCAGATCTCCTGCACTAAATTTAGAGGGAGCCTTAATGAGGGAAAAGATAAATGGGTAAGTCAGCGCTATAAGAAATCTGAATAGACTATTAATGGCTAGCAGACAGGGTTAGCCTTAGATGTAGGCCAAATAATCATTATCTACAGTCTGTTTGGTACCCAGGATTTCACCATTAGAGATCTATTTTTTTGGTGAAGATTGTACATTAAACTCTTGTTAGTAATTAGCACCTGTGTATTTGTGTTTATCAGCTCGCTATCCTCTGAGATAACTACCAGAGATCAGGGTTCTTAGAGATCAAGATGATTTTGGAGCAATAATACTAGAGTATAAGTTGCTGTCCCTGGAAAGCAGACCTGAATAATAAATGGGCACCCTGCAGGCAAAAGAAGGTGATGAACATGGAGGCTAAAGAACAGATATCAACTCTGCTGACTAGTCAACCTTGCTGTGACTGAAACCATGTAGAATGTACTTTGGGGAGTCCTAGACTAGATGTTTCAAAGGAGCCCCCATTCACAGCCATAGAGTTGGACAAAGAGGAGAAGCCGACAGTGGATTTCCCCATAAGGCAACACGCCCACTCCCCCCACCCCTGCCAGGCTCCCCAACCTACCCAATCCCAGCAACACAGTCTTACCTCCCACGAACTGTGCGGCTCCCATGCAACGTCCCATCATTCTGGAGATGAGCTCCTCCATGCAGCAGCCCAGGACAGCAGCCAGTGCCACCAGGAGCAGCAGAGCACAGCCGGCACCCGTCACTACCGTGCACATCTGCCAGGCCAGGCTTGGGATGGCACTGAAGCTGGCATAGCGCCCACACTCTTCCACCATGATCAGACTCTGCCCCTCTCCCCTCACAGGGTAGTTGCACCTCCGGAATGTGCTGAATGACACTGGCTTCCCCAGCTGGGATCCAAAGAGCCAGTAAGGCAGGAAGTAACTGGTAGAACTGGCCACAGCAGTAACAAGGGACAGGAAGGCCCAGAGGGTCCCCACCAGGGTCAGGCTGCTCCTCATGGTCCCAGGTTTCTCTGCAGGGATGGGGAGATGAGTTGGGTCACAGCACCAAATGTAGAAAGTTATCATGTAGGTTTCATCAGCCTATTTTTCATCTGGCTGGCCAGTCCTGGGGCTCACTTATGTGCTACTTGGCCCTTGCTTCGGGATAAGATTATTCTCTCAGGGACCATTTGGGCCCCTATGGGATTCTGCTTTCCAGCACTTTTCCCATCTTCCCTTCCTTCCACCTGATTCAGAGTTCTATGGTTTCTAGGCTGCAGTGGAAAAAACAGAGAGCTGAATTAGGAACTGTTCTTCCCACTCAAATGCAGCCTGATCAGGCAGCTTTTAGCTCATGCAGTAAGTGGCAGGAGGGGTGCCTAAATGAAACCAAGCCTGCCCAGAGAGCCTGCTGCTTCTGGTGGAATGGCCTTGCTGACCTGGAGGCCTGGAAAGAGGCAATATCTCAAGAGGGTCAAGAACCAAGTGGTTTGCAAAAAGTGAAGGAAGGAGGAAATCACCTGAGAGGGTCTGCCCCTGCTACAGGGGAGAAGAGGGAAGGAGAGCTCACCATGGAGTTACGGGATATGCCCACTTGACCTAGGCAAGGTGTCCAAGAGAGCATCAATATGGGCTTTTCACAGTAATGCATCAGCTAGGTTGAAGTAGGTAAATAAAATAAGGAGTGCCTAGTCTCACAGCCTTTGTTTATCACGGAGACAGCACTGTTCAGCCACTTTTCCCCCAAATCAAAATGGGAGGCAGCTTTCCAACCAGTGAGGATGGTCTAATGCTAGGCTGTCTACTAAAAAAACCTGATCCTTTGCTGAATGTAGTCAAGAAAGCTTCTCATCTTTTCTGAAATGGATCAGGTACCCCTGCCTGGCAGCAGGAACATATATCTATAGCTCTAAGGGCCTTTCAAGGTGCCTTTTGGAACAAATCTCAGATTCAAGACCCTGAGAGTCTTTTCAGATCTAATCTCCTCAGCCCAGCTCACAAATGGTTTTCACAGACCCCTCTGTCAAAAATCAACCACTTCCCTCCCAACGCCATTAATCTGCCATTGCTTTCTGGCCTGTTTCTCAATTAGGGCAGCCAGAGACCACACTGCAGCTCGATGACAGCACTGTGAACGGCTCCAGCAAGCAGATGGTGGGGTATGTTTCAGAAACTTCTCCATGATTCATCACCATTATTTAAAGCTAACAGGTGCTGGGATGGGGGTCCAGCAGTGGGGGTCCCAAGACAAGGGAAGTGCAGGAGCTGGCTGCCTGGGGTCACCACATAGCCAGGTTAGGACATTGTCAGGAGCAAGCAGCGGTTGGTGGTACTCAGGGTCTCAGGGACCTTGCCTGGTCATGAGCTCTGTCACAACCTTCATCAAACAGTGCCTGGCACAGAGTAGGCACTGCAATTCACGTTTGTTTAGTGAACCCCATTTTATAGAAGCATCCAATTTCCCGGCTGGCAGGGACCTTAATGAATCACCTAAATCCACCTTCTTGTTTTACATATGGTGGAGTACCGCCCAGTAAAGGGGAAAAAGATTTCCCCCAAGTCACTGGAATAAGAAACCCAGTCTGCAGATTCCTAGGCCAGTACTTCTCCACCACACCGTGCTAACCACCCCGCCCCATCACTTTACAGATGGGAATCCAGAGAGGAAATGATTTACCCAAGGGGTAAAGAACTAGTGAAGCACACTGGCCGGCCCAGAGCCCAGTTAATTGATTCTTAGTATAATGCTCTTTTCTCGCTCCACCACAATTCCCCTCCTGATACACATGTATTGTGAGCTCTGTGTTTTGTGCCGGAAGGGAGCAGAGATCATAAATTGCAGGTGCTTGCTTTGGAACGTTAGGGCTTGGGAAGCAAGTGCCCTGAGCTGGGCCCCAGGGAATGAGGCTTTGTGCATGAGAGTGGGGGGAATGAGAGAAAGATGTGATGAGGGATTGAAAGCCAACAGGAGGAGAAGTGGAACTAGTTTTGAGTAATTGCTGCTAGAAAGCAGGTACGCTGGGCCACAATGAGGTAATGCCTCTGCTTGCTATATTAGAGCGTGTAAGATTATGAAAAGTGCAAGCAGCCCTCTTTTGTGAATTCAGTTCCTGGTGAAGAAGCCCAGGTCAGGGTCGGAGGAAACAAGCTGATAAACAGCTATTGGCTGCACCATCATCTTCCCTTCCAAGTCCATTGTTTCACGTGCTCTGCCCAACAATCTTCTGGGGTTGCTAAGAAAGGTAGTACCCCCAGTTTAAAAGTGCACAAATTGAGGGTGAGAAAGCTAAGCGACTTGCCCAGGACCTTGTGATTCAATGGCAGGGCCATTATTTCCCACTTCTCCTCCACCTGCAATCTTCCCCCATATTCTTCACCATCCCAACAGTATTCCCATGAAAAGCCTCCATGGTTTCCCAGCCAGGATTTCAAAAACTATTTAAGGCTGGCAAAAGAATTACAGGGGAAGGACTGGGAAGGCAGGAGGAAGGCCACTTTGTCTAAGCAGCCTGTAACCAGCAGGACAAGGGCGTGGGCTGTTTCAAGTTTGTAGTCAGAACAAACCCCATGTATCCCCTGCGAACATCATCACCTTGAGATCAAAAGTCCCAGGATGACAGCCAGAAGGGCAGAGAACTTAAGGCAGAGGAAGGGACTGCGTCAGTGAGTGGTGCCTAGACTATACTAAAATAAGGGGAGGACTTCTGACATCAAGTTAGCATCATCTGTGACAAATCAGGCTGTTTGAAAAACTACAAGACTACCAACCACTATTACTGTAATTCGATTCTAAAAAACGGCATTTTGAAGCCAAGCTGTAGGAAGGCAGAATCACAAAATTCAGTTTAAATTAAATATGTTGTGCTTTCAAAAAGCTCATTGGCTCTCAGAATTTAAATTAAATATTTTCAAAGTCAGGAAAAAACTCACTGTCCTTATTTCACTTAGGACTAGGATGTCCAGCCGTGCTAGTTCACTTGGGACTGAGGGGTTTCCTGGGCTGTGGGACTATCAGGGCTAAAACTAGGGAAGTCCCAAACTTGGACAAGTTAGTCACCCTATTTAGGACTAGAGGTGTGCTGAGTCAGCACCACCCACAAATAGCAGGTTGAGAATCACCGCCACAGATAATTTTCTAATGGTCTCTCTCCAGGACTCAAACAATATGAAGTTAAAAGTGGCCATGAAATTGAAGACAATGGCGAGATGAGATCTTTATATTTTGAATGCAAACCATTCTGAATCATAGGCTTGACCTCATACAATCAAGAAAGAGATTGCAGAGATCCAAATATTTTCTGAGCACAAAATAAGCCCCAGCCTAGCTTTTCCTGGAGCTGGATATGGAGGCACCGGGCCGCGTGGAGTCTGCATGCACATTGCTACATGTTCACCTGAGTCGGACAAGGGAGTGCATTTAAGCAAGTGTTCTTAGTTACTGCATCACCTGATAGCCCTCCAAAGCAATCCGGGTTCATTCCCAGGAGCTAGCCAAATCTCTTTATATTCACATAAACAAAAGTCGCACACGGTTGTACACTTCATCCAACTTTAATCTGCTTGAGTATTTCATGTAACAAGAGCTTTGTTTCCCTGTCCTGGAACATCCAGCCACACAGCCCACACTGGATTTAAGAAACCAAGGACTCACCCTGGTGCTCCTGCAAAGTGATCCGGTAACCAGGTACTGATAAGATTGCTATTGACTCTCTCTTTTTAGTGGTCACATGGTCCCTCATCCCTTAATTGTTTCATCTCCTAAATGGGTTACATGCTTCTTCCTGAGGGTGGCTGTATGAGAGGCAGTGAGTGTGGATAGAAAGTTGTAACAAGCAGGGTAGAGACATGAGGTCTGTCCTAAATTCGCTGTTCTTATTAAAGGCTAGTGGTGAAGATACGGTAGTCATTCTAACACAGACTCATGGATAGAGCCCACTTCATCCTACGAGATGCAGGAAACCCACCTAAGCTGTACATGACAAACGGTTACCTATATTGCTTTTAAAGAACTTTAGAGGACTCTACAGTTTTTCTCAGTAGCTTGACAATCCTCACTGTCGAGAAATCACTTATGTCTCATTTTCAACCTTTTTCTGCTGCAACTTAAGGCCATTTCTTTTGGTTGGGTCCTCTTGGCCACGGTCCTCCAGATGAGAGCCCTTCACCAACTCACATTAACTCAGATTGCTGGTAGCTTCCCTTTAGACTTTTTCTCCGCAAATGAGCACTTGACCTCTCCCTGTGGTGTCTCACTGCCAAGCTTGTAATCATTTCTTCTCACATTTTCACTCCCATGTGTACCTACTCATATGTGGGCACTTACTTAGTATCAATGAAACTGAAAACATTGCTCTTATATTTTTCTTGGTGGAGAAAAACACACCAAAATTCTTCCAATACCTTACATCCTCCCCAGTCCCCACAGAAAAAACCCTCAAATCTTTTTGTTCCCACTTGAGCTTTTCATACAACTTCTGAGTCAAGGCCAGCATTACCTTACCGAGGCTAACAGGGTCCAGGCAAAGCAGCCAGCGAGTTAATGACCAGAAAACGAAGTAGTCTGAAAGGAAGTCTCTGACTTGCAGCCACTAAGGAAAATGTGGCCGCAACATTCCTGGCTTTGGACTGGTTTGCGAAGAGCAGCTTTGTTGGGATGGGTGTTGAAAAAGGAATGTGAATGGGACTCCTTGTATCACACTGGGTATATAAGCAGCCTGACCATTCTAGATCCTTCTGCTTCAGACTCAGCCACAAAAAGAACCTACTACCACTTCCCAAAGGTTTCTCTCCTTATTTTCTGCCACATGCATCCCCCAGAAGTTTCTCCTTCTCTGTATATCTCCACAACTAGAGTTGCTCCAGGTTCTTCTGTGCCTGAAGTCATCTCACAATTTAGCTATTCCCAGGGCTTTGTCTCCCATTTGTGTCTTGGTGACTTGAAGAAGACCTCACTTTTTGTAAGCTTACTGAGCTATAATTGATATACGAAAACTTGCATACATTTAATGCGTATATCTCAATGAGTCTGGGCGTATGCCCACATCTGTAATACCATCACCACAGCCAAGATCCTAAACATATTCATAACCTTCAAAAAGTTCCTTGTATTGTTTTGTGGGTTTGTGTGCATATTAAGAACACTTAACATGAGATCTAGCCTCATAATGTATTTTACAGTGCACAACACCGTTTGTTAACTGTAGGCACTGAGTTGTACAGAAGATCTTTAGAAGTTATTCATCTAGCATAACTGAAACTTCATACCTCTTGAGCAACAACTCCTCATTCCCCCTCCCTCCAGCCTCTAGCAAACACCATTTTACTCTATGTTTAA